TTTTCCCTATAAATCTCAATTTTTTCCCCATAAATCCCAATTTTTCCCCCCAAACCCCCATTTTTTCACATTAAACCCCATTTTTCCCCTTTAATCCCATTTTTTCCCATTAAACCCCATTTTTTTCCCATTAAATCCCATTTTTCCCCCCTAAACCCCAATTTCCTCCCCCCAAACCCCATTTTTTTCACCATAAATCCCATTTTTTTCCCCATAAATCTCAATTTTACCCCCCTAAATCCAATTTTTTCCACCCTAAATCCCATTTTTTTCCCTATAAATCTCAATTTTTTCCCCATAAACCCCAATTTCCTCCCCCCAAACCCCATTTTTTTCACCATAAATCCCATTTTTTTCCCCATAAATCTCAATTTTCCCCCCTCTAACCCCAATTTCCTCCCCCCAAACCCCAATTTTTTCACCATAAATCCCATTTTTTTCCCCATAAATCTCAATTTTACCCCCCTAAATCCAATTTTTTCCACCCTAAATCCCATTTTTTTCCCTATAAATCTCAATTTTTTCCCCATAAATCCCAATTTTTTCCCCCCAAACCCCATTTTTTCCCCATTAAATCCCCTTTTTTTTCCCTTTTCCCCGCAGGGAACATCATCGGCTCGGGGATCTTCGTGGCCCCCAAGGGGGTCCTGGCGCACTCGGGGGCCGTGGGGCCGGCGCTGCTGGTCTGGGGGCTGACGGGGGCCGTGACGGCCGTGGGGGCCCTTTGCTACGCCGAGCTGGGGGTCTGCATCCCCAGGGCCGGGGGCGACTACGCCTACGTCAGCCACGTCTTCGGGGGGCTCGTGGGGTGAGTAATCCGGCAAAAATCGCCCCAAATTTGGCTGAAAATCGCCCAAAATTTGGGTGAAAATCGCCCAAAATTCGAGTGAAAATCGGCCAAAATTTGGGTTAAAATTGACCAAAATTTGGGTGAAAATTGACCAAAATTCAGGGTAAAATCGCCCATTTTTTACCCCAATTTCGACCAAAATTCGGCTCAAAATCGCCCAAAATTCGGGTTAAAATTGACCAAAATTTGGGTTAAAATTGACCAAAATTCGGGTTAAAATCGGCCAAAATTCGGGGTAAAATCACCCATTTTTTACCCCAATTTCGACCAAAATTTGGCTCAAAATTGGTCAAAATTCGACTCAAAATCGCCCAAAATTCGGGGTAAAATTGACCAAAATTTGGGTGAAAATCGGCCTAAATTCGGGGTAAAATCGACCAAAATTTGGGTTAAAATTGACCAAAATTTGGGTTAAAATCGGTCAAAATTTGGCTGAAAATCGGCCAAAATTTGGCTGAAAATCGGCCAAAATTCGGCTTAAAATCGCCCAAGATTTGCCCCAATTTCACCCAAAATTTGGCTCAAAATCACCCAAATTTGGCTCAAAATCACCCATTTTTGGTCCCAAAATCGCTCAAAATCACCCAAAATTTGACTCAAAATCACCCATTTTTTGCCCCAATTTCACCCAAAATTTTGCTCAAAATCAACCAAATTTGGCTCAAAATTGCCCATTTTTTACCCAAAATTTGGCTCAAAATCGCCCAAAATTCAGCTCAAAATCACCCCAAGTTTGACTCCAAATCACCCATTTTTGGCCCCGATTTTGACACAAATTTGACTCAAAATCGCCCATTTTTTGCCCAAATTTCGACCAAAATTTGACTCAAAATCGCCCAAAATTCGGGGTAAAATTGACCAAAATTTGGCTGAAAATCAGCCAAAATTTGGGGTAAAATTGACCAAAATTTGGGTTAAAATCGACCAAAATTCGGGTTAAAATCGCCCAAAACTCGGGTTAAAATTGGTCAAAATTTGGCCTAAAATCGGTCAAAATTTGGGGTAAAATTGACCAAAATTTGCGTTAAAATTGGCCAAAATTTGGGTGAAAATTGGTCAAAATTCGGGTGAAAATCGGCCAAAATTTGGGTGAAAATCGGCCAAAATTCGGGGTAAAATTGACCAAAATTCGGGGTAAAATTGACCAAAATTTGGGGTAAAATCGGCCAAAATTCGGGGTAAAATTGACCAAAATTCGGGGTAAAATTGACCAAAATTCGGGGTAAAATTGGTCAAAATTTGGCCTAAAATTGGTCAAAATTTGGGTTAAAATCCCCCAAAATTTGACTGAAAATCGGTCAAAATTCGGCTTAAAATCGCCCAAGATTTGCCCCAATTTCACCCAAAATTTGGCTCAAAATCACCCAAATTTGGCTCAAAATCACCCATTTTTGGTCCCAAAATCGCTCAAAATCACCCAAAATTTGACTCAAAATCACCCATTTTTTGCCCCAATTTCACCCAAAATTTGGCTCAAAATCACCCAAATTTGGCTCAAAATTGCCCATTTTTTACCCAAAATTTGGCTAAAAATCGCCCAAAATTCAGCTCAAAATCACCCCAAGTTTGACTCCAAATCACCCATTTTTGGCCCCGATTTTGACACAAATTTGACTCAAAATCGCCCATTTTTTGCCCAAATTTCGACCAAAATTTGACTCAAAATCACCCAAAATTCGGGGTAAAATTGACAAAATTTGGGGTAAAATCAGTCAAAATTTGGGTTAAAATTGACCAAAATTCGGGGCAAAATTGACCAAAATTCGGGTTAAAATTGGTCAAAATTTGGCCTAAAATTGGTCAAAATTTGGGGTAAAATTGACCAAAATTCGGGGTAAAATTGACCAAAATTTGGGTAAAATTGACAAAAATTCAGGGTAAAATTGACCAAAATTCGGGGTAAAATTGACCAAAATTTGGGGTAAAATTGACCAAAATTTGGGGTAAAATTGACAAAAATTTGGGTGAAAATTGACCAAAGTTTGGGGTAAAATTGACCAAAATTTGGGGTAGAATCGACCAAAATTTGGGGTAAAATTGACCAAAGTTTGGGGTAAAATTGACCAAAATTTGGGGTAAAATCGACCAAAATTTGGGGTAAAATTGACCAAAATTCGGGGTAAAATCGCCCAAAATTTGGGTTAAAATTGGTCAAAATTTGGCCTAAAATTGGTCAAAATTTGGGGTAAAATTGACCAAAATTCGGGGTAAAATTGACAAAATTTGGGTTAAAATTGGCCAAAATTTGGGTTAAAATCCCCCAAAATTTGACTGAAAATCGGTCAAAATTCGGCTTAAAATCGCCCAAAATTTGCCCCAATTTCACCCAAAATTTGGCTCAAAATCACCCAAATTTGGCTCAAAATCACCCATTTTTGGTCCCAAAATCGCTCAAAATCACCCAAAATTTGACTCAAAATCACCCATTTTTTGCCCCAATTTCACCCAAAATTTGGCTCAAAATCACCCAAATTTGACTCAAAATCACCCATTTTTTGCCCCAATTTCACCCAAAATTTGGCTCAAAATCACCCAAATTTGGCTCAAAATTGCCCATTTTTTACCCAAAATTTGGCTCAAAATCGCCCAAAATTCAGCTCAAAATCACCCCAAGTTTGACTCCAAATCACCCATTTTTGGCCCCGATTTTGACACAAATTTGACTCAAAATCGCCAATTTTTTGCTCAAATTTTGACACAAATTTGACTCCAAATCACCCGTTTTTTGCCCCGAATTTGCCCCAATTTGCCCCAATTTGGTCCCAACCCTGGGGGTCTGTCCCGGCCGTGGGGGCCCTTTGCTACGCCGAGCTGGGGGTCTGCATCCCCAGGGCCGGGGGCGACTACGCCTACGTCAGCCACGTCTTCGGGGGGCTCGTGGGGTGAGTAATCCGGCAAAAATCGCCCCAAATTTGGCTGAAAATCGCCCAAAATTTGGGTGAAAATCGGCCAAAATTCGGGTGAAAATCGGCCAAAATTTGGGTGAAAATCGGCCAAAATTCGGGTTAAAATTGGTCAAAATTTGGCCTAAAATTGGTCAAAATTTGGGGTAAAATTGACCAAAATTTAGGTTAAAATCGGCCAAAATTCGAGGTAAAATTGACCAAAATTCGGGGCAAAATTGACCAAAATTTGCATTAAAATTGGCCAAAATTTGGGTGAAAATCGACCAAAATTTGGGGTAAAATCGGCCAAAATTTGGGTAAAATTGACAAAAATTCAGGGTAAAATTGACAAAAATTCAGGGTAAAATTGACCAAAATTTGGGGTAAAATTGACCAAAATTCGGGGTAAAATTGACCAAAATTTGGGGTAAAATTGACCAAAATTCGGGGTAAAATTGACAAAATTTGGGGTAAAATCAGTCAAAATTTGGGTTAAAATTGACCAAAATTCAGGTTAAAATTGGTCAAAATTTGGCCTAAAATCGGTCAAAATTTGGGGTAAAATTGACCAAAATTCAGGGTAAAATTGACCAAAATTTGCGTTAAAATTGGCCAAAATTTGGGTGAAAATCGGTCAAAATTCGGGTGAAAATCGGCCAAAATTTGGGTGAAAATCGGCCAAAATTCGGGTTAAAATTGGTCAAAATTTGGCCTAAAATTGGTCAAAATTTGGGGTAAAATTGACCAAAATTTAGGTTAAAATCGGCCAAAATTCGAGGTAAAATTGACCAAAATTCGGGGCAAAATTGACCAAAATTTGCATTAAAATTGGCCAAAATTTGGGTGAAAATCGACCAAAATTTGGGGTAAAATCGGCCAAAATTTGGGTAAAATTGACAAAAATTCAGGGTAAAATTGACAAAAATTCAGGGTAAAATTGACCAAAATTTGGGGTAAAATTGACCAAAATTCGGGGTAAAATTGACCAAAATTTGGGGTAAAATTGACCAAAATCGGGTAAATTGAAAATTTGGGGATAAAATCAGATCAAAATTTTGGGTTAAAATGCGCAAAATATGCAGGTTAAAAATTGGTCAATAATTATTGCCTAAGGAATCGGTCAAAATTGGGGTAAAATTGACCAAAATTCAGTAGGTAAAATTGACCAAAATTTGCGTTAAAATTGGCCAAAATTTGGGTGAAAATCGGTCAAAATTCGGGTGAAAATCGGCCAAAATTTGGGTGAAAATCGCCCAAAATTCGGGTTAAAATTGGTCAAAATTTGGCCTAAAATTGGTCAAAATTTGGGGTAAAATTGACCAAAATTCGGGGTAAAATTGACAAAATTTGGGTGAAAATCGACCAAAATTTGGGGTAAAATCGACCAAAATTCGGGGCAAAATTGACCAAAATTTAGGTTAAAATTGACCAAAATTCGGGTGAAAATTGCCCAAAATTCGGGTTAAAATTGGTCAAAATTTGGCCTAAAATCGGTCAAAATTTGGGGTAAAATTGACCAAAATTTGGGGTAAAATTGACCAAAATTTGCATTAAAATTGGCCAAATTTTGGGTGAAAATCGGTCAAAATTCGGGTGAAAATCGCCCAAAATTCGGGTTAAAATCGCCCAAAATTCGGGTTAAAATCACTCATTTTTTGCCCCAATTTTGACCAAAATTTGACTCAAAATCGCCCAAAATTTGGGTTAAAATTGACCAAAATTTGGGTTAAAATTGACCAAAATTCGGGTTAAAATCGGCCAAAATTCGGGGTAAAATCGACCATTTTTTACCCCAATTTCGGCTCAAAATTTGTCTCAAAATCGCCCAAAATTTGGGTTAAAATCGGCCAAAATTTGGGTTAAAATTGGCCAAAATGCGGGGTAAAATTGACCAAAATTCGGGGTAAAATCATCCAAAATTTGGGGTCAAAATTGACCAAAATTCGGGGTAAAATTGGCCAAAATTTGGCTGAAAATCACGCATTTTTTGCCCCAATTTCGACCAAAATTTGGCTCAAAATCGCCCAAAATTTGGGTTAAAATCGCCCAAAATTTGACATAAAATAGCCCCAAATTTGGGTTAAAATCCCCCAAAATTTGACTGAAAATCGGTCAAAATTCGGCTCAAAATCGCCCAAAATTTGCCCCAATTTCACCCAAAATCGCTCAAAATCACCCAAATTTGACTCAAAATCACCCATTTTGTGCCCCAATTTCACCCAAAATTTTGCTCAAAATCAACCAAATTTGGCTCAAAATTGCCCATTTTTTACCCAAAATTTGGCTCAAAATCGCCCAAAATTCAGCTCAAAATCACCCCAAGTTTGACTCCAAATCACCCATTTTTGGCCCCGATTTTGACACAAATTTGACTCAAAATCGCCCATTTTTTGCCCAAATTTCGACCAAAATTTGACTCAAAATCGCCCAAAATTCGGGGTAAAATTGACCAAAATTTGGGTGAAAATCAGCCAAAATTTGGGGTAAAATTGACCAAAATTTGGGTGAAAATCGGTCAAAATTTGGGTTAAAATTGACCAAAATGCGGGGTAAAATTGACCAAAATTTGGGGTAAAATTGACCAAAATTTGGGGTAAAATTGACCAAAATTTGCATTAAAATTGGCCAAAATTTGGGTGAAAATCGACCAAAATTTGGGGTAAAATCAGCCAAAATTTGAGGTAAAATTGGCCAAAATTTGGCTGAAAATCGTGCATTTTTTGCCCCAATTTCGACCAAAATTTGACTCAAAATTGCCCAAAATTCGGGGTAAAATTGACCAAAATTCGGGGTAAAATTGCCCAAAATTTGGCTCAAAATCAATCAAAATTTGACTCAAAATCACCCATTTTTTGCCCCAATTTCGACCAAAATTTGACTCAAAATTGCCCAAAATTTGACTCAAAATTGACCAAAATTTGACTCAAAATTGACCAAAATTTGGGGTAAAATTGACCAAAATTTGGGGTAAAATTGACCAAAATTCGGGGTAAAATTGACCAAAATTTGGGTTAAAATCGCCCAAAATTTGTCTAAAATACACCCATTTTTTACCCCAAATTTGACCGAAAATCGCCCAAAATTCAGGGCAAAATCGGCCAAAATTCAGGTTAAAATCACTCATTTTTGCCCAAATTTCACCCAAAATTCGGCTCAAAATCACCCATTTTTAGCCCCAAAATCACCTCAAATTTGGCCCAAAATCACTCACTTTTGGCCCCAAATTCAGCTCAAAATTGCCCCAAATTGACTGGAAATTGGGGTAAAAATGGGCCATTTTCAGCCAAATTTTGGGCAATTTTGACCCAAATTTTGGACGATTTTGACCCAAATTTTGGTCGATTTTGACCCAAATTTTGGTCGATTTTGACCCAAATTTTGGTCGATTTTGCCCCAAATTTTGGGTGATTTTCAGCCAAATTTTGGGCAATTTTGAGCCAAATTTGGGGTGATTTTCACCCAAATTTTGGGCCATTTTGACCCAAATTTTGGACGATTTTGACCCAAATTTTACCAATTTTCAGCCAAATTTTGGGCAATTTTGACCCAAATTTTGGACGATTTTAACCCGAATTTTGGACGATTTTAACCCAAATTTTGGTCGATTTTGACCCAAATTTTGGGTGATTTTGACCCAAATTTTCGACGATTTTGACCCAAATTTTGGGGTGATTTTGACCCAAATTTTACCAATTTTCAACCAAATTTTGGGCGATTTTGAGCCAAATTATGGGCGATTTTGAACCAAATTTTGGGCGATTTTAACCCAAATTTTGGGCGATTTTAACCCAAATTTTGGACGATTTTGACCCAAATTTGGGGCGATTTTGACCCAAATTTTGGGCAATTTTACCCCGAATTTTGGGCCATTTTGACCCCAATTTTGGGCGATTTTGACCCGAATTTGGGGCAAAATTCCGACAAAAAATGTGCGATTTTGAGCCGAAAATTGACCCGAAACGGCCCATTTTTCCCTCTAAAATCACCCAAAATTAGGGAAAAAATCCCCAGACCCCCCTGTACAGGGATCTCAAGCATTTTTCCCGATTTTTGCCAATTTTGCCCCAAAATTCCCAGGTTCCTGCGGCTGTGGATCTCGGTGCTGGTGATCTACCCCACCAACCAGACCTCGCCCTCACCTGAGCCCATTTTTGCCCAAATTTCGCCCAAATTTCACCCAAAATTCAGCTCAAAAATCACCCAAAATGTGACCTAAAAATCACCTTAAATTTGGCTCAAAATTGCCCCAAAGTGACTTGAAATTGGGGGAAAAATGGGCAATTTTGGGGCCAAAAACGGGCAATTTTGAGCCAAATTTGGGGTGAAATTGGGGCTAAAAATGGGTGATTTTGGGCCAAATTTGGGACGATTTTGAGCCAAATTTGGGGCCAAAAATGGGCGATTTTAGGCCAAATTTGGGGTGAAATTGGGGCTAAAAATGGGTGATTTTGGGCCAAATTTGGGACGATTTTGAGCCAAATTTGGGGCCAAAAATGGGCGATTTTAGGCCAAATTTGGGGTAAAATTGAGGCAAAAAATGGACGATTTTGAGCCAAATTTTGGGCGATTTTGACCCGAATTTTGGTCAATTTTACCCCGAATTTTGGACAATTTTGACCCCAATTTTGGGCCATTTTGACCCAAATTTGGGGCAAAATTCCGACAAAAAATGTGCGATTTTGAGCCAAAAATTGACCCGAAACGGCCCATTTTTCGCTCCAAAATCACCCAAAATTAGGGAAAAAATCCCCAGACCCCCCTGTACAGGGATCTCAAGCATTTTTCCCGATTTTTGCCAATTTTGCCCCAAAATTCCCAGGTTCCTGCGGCTGTGGATCTCGGTGCTGGTGATCTACCCCACCAACCAGGCCGTCATCGCCCCAAAATTTGGCTCAAAATTGCCCCAAATTTGACCCAAAATCGCCCATTTTTTGCCCCAAATTCAGCTCAGAATTGCCCCAAATTGACTTGAAATTGGGGGAAAAATGGGCTGATTTTGGGGCTAAAAATGAGCGATTTTGAGTCAAATTTTGGGTGATTTTGAGCTGAATTTGGGGCTAAAAATGGGCGATTTTGTCTCAAATTTGGGGCAATTTTGACCCAAATTTTGGACGATTTTGACCCAAATTTTGGGCGATTTTGACCCAAATTTTGGGTGATTTTTTAGCCAAATTTTGGGCGATTTTGACCCAAATTTGGGGCAAAATTCCGACAAAAAATGTGCGATTTTGAGCCAAAAATTGACCCGAAACGGCCCATTTTTCCCTCTAAAATCACCCAAAATTAGGGAAAAAATCCCCAGACCCCCCTGTACAGGGATCTCAAGCATTTTTCCCGATTTTCCCCGTTTTTGCCCCAATTTTCCCAGGTTCCTGCGGCTGTGGATCTCGGTGCTGGTGATCTACCCCACCAACCAGGCCGTCATCGCCCTCACCTTCGCCAACTACGTCCTGCAGCCCCTCTTCCCCAGCTGCCGCACCCCAGAGCCCGCCCAGAGGATCCTGGCAGCCGCCTGCCTGCGTGAGTCACCCCGGAATTCCCGAAATTCCCAAAAATTCCCAAAAATTCCCAAAAAATCCCCTCCGAAAACGGCCAAAAACGGCGAAAAACCGCCGGGAAATGACCCCAAAACGACACAAAACCACCCAAAACTGACCTAAAACTGACCCCAGAGTCACCTGGGACTCACCTGAGGTTCCTGTCCCTGGGAGTTATCCCAAAATTCCCGAAAATTCCCAAAAATTCAAGGAATTCCCAAAAAATCCCCTCCGAAAACGGCCAAAAACGGCAAAAAACCGCCGGGAAATGACCCCAAAACCACCCAAAAATCACTCAAAACTGACCCAAAACTGACCCCAGAGTCACCTGGGACTCAGCTGAGGTTCCTGTCCCTGGGAGTTATCCCAAAATTCCCAAAAATTCCCCAAAATTCCCAAAAATTCCCGGAATCCCCAAAAAATCCCGACCAAAATCCCCATTTCTACCCCATTGTTTCCCCATTTTCTCCCCATTTTTATCCCATTTTTACCTCATTTTATCCCATTTTTACCTCATTTTATCCCATTTTTACCCCATTTTTTCCCATTTTTATCCCATTTTTGCCCCACATTTTACCCCATTTTTTCCCAATTTTTCATCCTTTTTTACCCCATTTTTTGCCCATTTTATCCCATTTTTACCCCACTTTTTACCCCATTTTTACCCCATTTTTACCCCACTTTTTACCCCATTTTTACCCCATTTTTTCCCATTTTTTCCCATTTTTATCCCATTTTTACCCCACATTTTACCCCACATTTTTTCCCATTTTTACCCCATTTTTTCCCCATTTTTACCCCGTTATCCCCCCATTTATTCCCCATTTTTCCCCATTTTCCCCCCATTTTTACCCCATTTTTTGCCCATTTTATCCTCATTTTTACCCCATTTTCCTCCCATTTTTACCCCATTTTTTCCCACATTTTCCTCCCATTTTTACCCCATTTTACCCCATTTCTCCCCCATTTCTCCCCCATTTCTCCCCCATTTTTATGCCATTTTTCTCCTCATTTTCCCCCATTTTTTCCCATTTTTCCCCCATTTTTTCCCATTTTTCCCCCATTTTTTCCCCATTTTTACCCCATTTTTTACCCCATTTTCCCCCATTTTTACTCCATTTTTACTCCATTTTATTCCCATTTTTACCCCATTTTTATCCTATTTTTATCCCCTTTTTACCCCATTTTTTACCCCATTTTGCCCCCATTTTTCCCCATTTTTACCTCATTTTTACCCCATTTCTTCCCATTTTTATCCTCATTTTCTCCCATTTTTACCCCATTTCCCTCCATTTTATCCCCATTTTTCCCCCATTTTCCCCCATTTTTCCCCCATTTTATCCCATTTTCACCCCCTTTTTTCCCATTTTTTTCCCATTTTTTCCCATTTTTTCCCAATTTCCCCATTTTTCCCCCCATTTCAGTGCTGCTGCTGTGGGTGAACAGCCCCCTTTTATCCCATTTTCCCCCCATTTTTCCCCATTTTCCCCCATTTTTTTCCATTTTCCCCCCATTTTTTCCCCATTTTTTTCCGTTTTTTCCCATTTTTTCCCCCTTTTTCCCATTTTTTCCCAATTTCCCCGTTTTTCACCCCATTTCAGTGCTGCTGCCGTGGGTGAACACCCGCAGTGTCCGTTGGGCCACGCGTGTCCAGGACCTTTTATTCCCATTTTCCCCCATTTTTCCCCATTTTCCCCCATTTTTACCCCGTTTTTTCCCATTTTTTTGGGTTTTTTGCCCATTTTTTCCCAAATTTTGAGGTTTTTGCCCCATTTCAGTGCTGCTGCCGTGGGTGAACAGCCCCCTTTTATCCCATTTTCCCCCCATTTTTCCCCCATTTTCCCCCCATTTTTTGCCCATTTTATCCCCATTTTTATCCCATTTTTTCCCATTTTACTCAAATTTTTCCCCATTTTTCCCCATTTTTATCTCATTTTTATCCCATTTTTATCCCATTTTTACCCCATTTTATCCCCATTTTTGCCCCACATTTTACCCCATTTTTTCCCAATTTTTCATCCTTTTTTACCCCATTTTTTGCCCATTTTATCCCCATTTTTACCCCATTTTTACCCCATTTTATTCCCATTTTTACCCCATTTTATTCCCATTTTTATCCCATTTTTATCCCATTTTTGCCCCGCATTTTACCCCACATCTTGCCCCATTTTTACCCATTTTTTCCCCATTTTTACCCCAATTTTCCCCCATTTTTACCCCGTTTTTTCCCATTTTTTTGGGTTTTTTGCCCATTTTTTCCCGTTTTCTGTGTTTTTTACCCCATTTCAGTGCTGCTGCCGTGGGTGAACAGCCACAGTATCCGTTGGGCCACGCGTGTCCAGGACCTTTTATTCCCATTTTCCCCCATTTTCCCCCATTTTTACCCCGTTTTTTCCCATTTTTTGGGTTTTTTTCCCGTTTTTTCCCAATTTCCCCATTTTTTGCCCCATTTCAGTGCTGCTGACGTGGTTGAACAGCCCCCTTTTATCCCATTTTCCCCCCATTTTTCCCCATTTTCCCCCATTTTTTTCCATTTTTACCCCATTTTTCCCCATTTTTACCCCGTTTTTTCCCCTTTTTTTGGTTTTTTGCCCATTTTTTCCCAAATTTTGGGTTTTTCACCCCATTTCAGTGCTGCTGCCGTGGGTGAACAGCCCCCTTTTATCCCATTTTCCCCCCATTTTTCCTCATTTTTCCCCCATTTTTCCCCCATTTTTTCCCATTTTTACCCCGTTTTTTCCCATTTTTTTGGGTTTTTTGCCCATTTTTTCCCAATTTTGGTGTTTTTCCCCCCATTTCAGTGCTCCTGACATGGGTGAACAGCCACAGTGTCCGTTGGGCCACGCGTGTGCAGGACCTTTTATTCCCATTTTCCCCCATTTTTCCCCCATTTTCCCCCATTTTTACCCCGTTTTTTCCCATTTTTTTGGTTTTTTGCCCATTTTTTCCCAAATTTTGGGTTTTTCACCCCATTTCAGTGCTGCTGACGTGGGTGAACGCCCGCAGCGTGCGCTGGGCCACGCGTGTGCAGGACCTTTTATTCCCATTTTTCCCCCATTTTTCCCCCATTTTATCCCATTTTTACCCCGTTTTTTCCCATTTTTTTGGTTTTTTTGCCCATTTTTTCCCAAATTTTGGGTTTTTTGCCCCATTTCAGTGCTGCTGACGTGGGTGAACGCCCGCAGCGTGCGCTGGGCCACGCGTGTGCAGGACGTGTTCACGGCGGGGAAGCTCCTGGCGCTGGGGCTGATCATCGGCACCGGGGCCGTGCTCATCGCAGGAGGTGAGCGTTTGGGGGGAAAAACGGCGGTTTTGGGCAAAAGGGAAATTGGGAGAAATAGGGAAATAAAAGGAAAAAAATTGGGGAAAAAATGGGAAAAAATTGGGGGGAAATTGGGGGAAATTGGGGGGAAAATTGGGGGAAAATGGGGGAAAAATTGGGGGAAAAAAGGAAAAAAATGGGGGAAAAATTGGGGGAAAATTGGGGAAAAATGGGGAAAAATGGGGGGAAAATGGGGGGAAAATGGGGAAAAATTGGGGGGAAAATGGGGAAAAATTGGGGGGAAAATGGGGAAAAAATGGGGGGAAAATGGGGAAAAAATGGGGAAAAATTGGGGAAAAATCGGGGGGAAAATGGGAATAAAATGGGGAAAAATGGGAATAAAGTGGGAATAAAATGGGGGAAAATGGGGAAAAAAAGGGGGAAAAATGGGGAAAAAATGGGGGAAAATTGGGGGGAAAATTGGGGAAAAAATGGGGAAAAAATGGGGGAAAATTGGGGGAAAATGGGGAAAAATTGGGGGAAAATGGGGGAAAATTGGGGAAAAATGGGGAAAAATTGGGGGAAAATGGGGAAAAATTGGGGGAAAATGGGGAAAAATTGGGGGAAAATGGGGGAAAATTGGGGAAAAATGGGGAAAAAATGGGGAAAAAATGGGAAAAAATTCGATAAAAATTGGGGGGAAAATGGGGGGAAAATGGGGGAAAAATGGGGAAAAATGGGGGAAAATGGGGAAAAAATGGGGAAAAATGGGGGAAAAATGGGAATAAAATGGGGATAAAATGGGGAAAAAATGGGGAAAAATGGGGAAAAAATGGGGAAAAATGGGGAAAAATTGGGGAAAAATGGGGGAAAATGGGGAAAAATTGGGGAAAAATGGGGAAAAATTGGGGAAAAATGGGGAAAATTGGGGGAATATGGGAAAAAATTGGGGAAAAAATGGGAAAAAAAAGGAAAAAAATTCGATAAAAATTGGGGGGAAAATGGGGGAAAAATGGGGGAAAAATGGGGAAAAATGGGGGAAAATTTGGGAAAAATGGGGGGAAAATTGGGGGAAAAAAGGAAAAAAATTGGGGGAAAATTGGGGGGAAATTGGGGAAAAATTGGGGGGGGCGGAAATGGGGAAAAAATGGGGAAAAATTGGATAAAAATTGGGGGGAAAATGGGGGGAAAATGGGGAAAAAATGGGGGGAAAATGGGGAAAAAATTGGATAAAAATTGGGGGGAAAATGGGGAAAAAATGGGGAAAAATTGGGGAAAAATCGGGGGGAAAATGGGGAGAAAATGGGGAAAAATTGAGGAAAAATTGGGGAAAATTGGGGGGAAAATGGGAATAAAATGGGGAAAAAAATGGGGGAAAATTGGGGGAAAATGGGGAAAAATGGGGGAAAATGGGGGAAAATTTGGGAAAAATTGGGGGGAAATGGGGGAAAATTTGGGAAAAATTGGGGGGAAATGGGGAAAAATGGGGGAAAATGGGAATAAAATGGGGATAAAATGGGGATAAAATGGGGATAAAATGGGAAAAAATGGGAAAAAAAGGGGAAAAAATTAGGAAAAAATAGAGAAAAAAATGTGGAAAAAATAGGAAAAAACAGGGAAAAAAAGGAGGAAAAAAGTAGGAAAAAATTAGAAAAAATCTGGAAAAATCTGGGAAAAAATCGGGGGAAAATTTGGAATAAAATGGGGAAAAAATGGGGGGAAAATGGGGAAAAAATGGGGAAAAAATGGGGAAAAAATGGGGGGAAAAGGGGGGGGAAAATGGGAATAAAACGGGGATAAAATGGGGAAAAATGGGAATAAAATGGGAATAAAATGGGGATAAAATGGGGATAAAATGGGGATAAAATGGGGATAAAATGGGGATAAAATTGGGGAAAAATGGGGAAAAATTGGGGGAAAATTGGGGAAAAATGGGGGGAAATTTGGGAAAAATTGGGGGGAAATGGGGAAAAAATGGGGGAAAATTGGGGGGAAAATGGGGAAAAATTGGGGGGAAAATGGGGAAAAATGGGGGAAAATTGGGGGGAAAATGGGGAAAAATTGGGGGAAAATGGGGAAAAAATGGACAAAAAATGGAGAAAAATGGGGAAAAAATGGGAAAAAAAGGAAAAAATCGGGTAAAAATCGGGGGGAAAATGGGGAAAAATTGGGGAAAAAAATGGGGATAAAATGGGGATAAAATGGGGATAAAATGGGGAAAAAATGGGGATAAAATGGGGGAAAATGGGGAAAAATTGGGGATAAAATGGGAAAAAATAGGGAAAAAATGTGGAAAAAAAGTAGGAAAAAATCTGAAAAAAAATTAGAAAAAATCTGAAATAATTAGGAAAAAAAATTAGGAAAAAATAGAAAAAAACCCAGAAAAAAATTAGAAAAAAAGATCTGAAAAAATTACAAAAAAAAATCTGAAAATCCGGGAAAAATCTGAAAAAATTAGAAAAAAATCCGAAAAAAATCCGAAAAAAATCCAAAAAAAATAGAAAAAAAATCCGAAAAAAATCCTAAAAAATCTGAAAAAAAAAATCTGAAAAAATTAGAAAAAAATCCGAAAAGAATCCGAAAAGAAATCTGAACAAAATAGAAGAAAAATCGGAAAAAATTAGAAAAAAATCGGAAAAAAATAGGAAAAAATCTGAAAAAAATCTGAAAAATCTGAAAAAAAATCCAAAAAAAATCCTAAAAAATTAGAAAAAAATCCTAAAAAATTAGAAAAAAATCTGAAAAAAATTTCAAAAAAATCCGAAAAAATTAGAAAAAAATAGAAAAAAAATTAGAAAAAAATTAGAATAAAATAGAAAAAAATCTGAAAAAAATTAGGAAAAAAAATCTGAAAAAATAGAAAAAAAATTTGAAAAAAATCTGAAAAAAATCTGAAAAAATTAGAAAAAAAATCCGAAAAAAATCCTGAAAAATCTGAAAAAAAATCTGAAAAAAATAGAAAAAAATCCTGAAAAATCCGAAAAAAAATCTGAAAAAAATAGAAAAAAAATCCTAAAAAATTAGAAAAAAATCTGAAAAAATTAGAAAAAAATCTGAAAAAAATCTGAAAAATCTGAAAAAAATCTGAAAAAATTAGAAAAAAAATCCGAAAACAATCCAAAAAAAAATAGAAAAAAAATCCGAAAAAAATAGAAAAAAATCCTAAAAAATTAGAAAAAATATCCTAAAAAATTAGAAAAAAATCTGAAAAAATTTCAAAAATATCCGAAAAAATTAGAAAAAAATAGAAAAAAATTAGAAAAAAATCAGAATAAAATAGAAAAAAATCTGAAAAAATTAGGAAAAAAAATCTGAAAAAATAGAAAAAAAATTTGAAAAAAATCTGAAAAAAATCTGAAAAATTAGAAAAAAAATCCGAAAAAAATCCTGAAAAATCTGAAAAAAAATCTGAAAAAATCCGAAAA